CCCCAAAACCCCAAAACCCCAAAACCCCAAAACCCCAAAACCCCTTTTCAAACTGTTCAGATTGAACATTTTAATCACTCGACGAACTACTAGAAGAGCTACTCGAGGAGCTGCTTGATGAGCTGCTGCTTGATCTCTTCTTCTTCTTCTTTTTATTTTTCTTGGATTTCTTACCCCACTTCTTGGCTTTCTTACATTTCTTTCCATTCTTTGAATTGATGCCTGTTCCATGGCACTTCTTGCACTTTGGATTTCAAGCAGTAGTTGCAACTCCACCCATAGGAACGAAGGTTGCTCCAGGAGCTCCTGGAACAGGATATCCTCCATGTGAAGGATAAGCTGGTGTTGGAGCAGGGAATCCTGGAGTTGGCATAGGATAAGCATTTGGATCTGGGTATCCTCCAGGAGCAGGAGTTGGATATCCTCCAGGTGCTGGTACCGGAGTAGGTGTTGGGAAACCTCCTGGCATTGGCGCTGGTGCTGGAGCTGGTGTTGGGAATACGCTTGGAGCTGGGACAGGTGCTGGTGCAGGGGTTGGAAACCCTCCTGGAGCAGGGGTTGGGAACCCTCCTGGAGCAGGGGTTGGGAACCCTCCTGGGGCAGGAGTAGGGAATGCTCCAGGAACTGGAGCTCCTGGATACTCACCACTCTTATCTACTATAGATATTTCACAGTATACTTCTCCTGCATCTTTCCCTTTATGATACAATTTTACCCAATCAACCAAACCACCATGAGCTTTTAATGTGTTTATATCCAATTGAGTGCTTCCTACTTCATCATTTGAAAAAGTATCTTTGTCCCATACAGCAATGTTTAGAACTGTAGAGGTTGAGAGATTGAAAGAGAAAGTTTCATCCCAACTAGGAGCTTTACCTCCTTGAGAGACTTTAGTCTTCTGCTTAATGCCATCGTATTTGATCTTGCAGTAGGGTTCCATACTTCCAAAAGCATCGGTGTCCCTTGTAAGTCTGGCTGTCTTGACAGTAATGATCAACTTTGGCTTCCCCATTATCTTTGAAAGGATCTATTTTTAATTTATATATGCCGACCAATCTTTTTATTCATCAGAGGGGTTTTGGGGTTTTGGGGTTTTGGGGTTTTGGGGTTTTGGGGTTTTGGGG